ATCAAGGGCGCAAATAATGCGACGCGACTTCGCTCCATCTTCGCGATCGCGCTATCACTGAACTGTGAAAAACAGTTGTCGCGCACTTTCACCGACATATTATGAATGTCGCACGATCATCCTTGGACACTCTCGACGTTTGTTCACTCGCGATATTCGTTTAAAAACGGTTCAAAGATGCGAAAAATGCGGACGTACGACGATCCGTGTAACTGCGTATGACTCCGAGTCACGTATGACGCGTATGACGTAGCAGTGACGTAGCAGTCACGCGCCAACATGGCGGCCGAACCAGTGCACACTGGTTCGGCCGCCATGTTGGCGCGTGACTGCTTCGTCACTGCTACGTCACTGCTACGTCAAACGCGTCATACGGCCGCCATGTTGGCGCGTGAATCGGAGTCATACGCAGTTACACGGATCGTCGTACGTCCGCATTTTTCGCATCTTTGAACCGTTTTTAAACGAATATCGCGAGTGAACGAGCGTCGAAAGTGTCGAAGGATGATCGCGCGACTTTTATAGTGTGTCGATGGAAACGTGCGACAGCGATTTTTGACGATATTCAGTGATGGCGTCATTGCGAAGATGGAGCGAAGTTGCGTCGTGTTATTCGCGCCCTTGATGACGATTATCGGATGCGAGCGAATATCGGGAGTGCCGAATAAAGTGTCGCGCGTTCGCGTTGATGATATCGTGTGCATCAAGATCGGAATGGGACGTCCCGAGGCGAGCGAGTGGAGCGGCCTGTGGAACAACCGGTGAACGGTGAGTAGATGTAATTTATCATATTTGCGTGACAATTCGTGCTCATTCGACGCTTATACAGCATCGCGATATCCCGAATTACGTTCGAACAAATCGGCGCCGCATCATAATTCGATGCGATGCCGTGCAATTCAAATAAAGTCGATCGCGTGAAGATGGTTAGCTAGAAGCGATTTCAAATTTATTTTATATACGCGCAGTGCTGCACAGCCTATCTCGTAGGGCTGCCAACTGTTAAACGATAAATTTTTTCGATCTAACCTAACCTCTCAGTGCTTTGGATGTCGAATGTAAACACAAGCGTATGCTGCCTGGATTTTATCATGCTTTCAAAAATAATATTTAATTATTTCATTAGTGTATTATATTTTATTACGTAGTATATTAATCGTATTAAATGTGCGACGTACAGTTTTACACATTTTAATGAGAAGCATATAATATAATTGGTTAGGTTAGATTAAATTAAAACAAGCTGCTGTGATTCATTTAACGTAATAGGATTAATTTGACGAATGTGCAGCTGTTGAAGTTACATGATATTTGTGGACACATTTTTAAAGTAATCATGAGTGTCTTATCTCATCTTGATTATATGAAATTAAAATATAAAATATTTATGTATTCCACATTAACGTTATTCATTACAAGTACTATATTACTTTTCTTATATCTCAATCATATTTCATCAATGAAGCTTTTCATATATCGCAGACAATATGATACTGTGTGTGGAATTTTACACAGGTAATACATGGCACAAAAATAATTTGTTCTCAAGTATTGTGCGTATTTCTCAAAAATAAATCAAATTAAATTATTTTAAGTAGGATTCAAAAATCACTACATTGCCAGGATTGTATCTTATTATAACTGCGATATTATCATCTTTTAATATGTATGTGCAGTATTACATACATAAAATATATAAATTTATTTGAAACGTACAGAAATCTTTATCTTATTTATAATATTTATGATATAAAAGAAAATTGCAACTCTAATGAAACAGAGCGGTGGAATAATTGGTTGATACTTATCCTGGTCTACAATATTTATCCTTTTTTCATCATTAGATTTTTGGTGCTTTTTTTATTATACAGATGTTATCTGTAAATATAGTACTTGTAATGTTGCTTCTGTATCACTGTAAGCACACAAAAATGATAGCATTTGCAGGTAATTATGTTATATATCGTTACTTATATATCGTAAGAAAGAGAAAATAAAATTAAAGTTGAATACTGAATGTGCTCTAAAGTAAATCTCATCTAAATAAATAAATGCATAAATGTGCGCCCCACATTCCTCATGAAAAAAATACATAATATTAATTTTTATGTATTATTATTTTTAGATTTTTATTCTTTTAAATTCTCTAGATACACTTTTCATTTCTCCTCTCTTTCTTTCCAACTACTAAATATAGATCTATCATTTTTAATATAGATCTGTCATTTTTAGTGTACATTATTGCAGTAAGTGGAATAAAGAGCAAATCTTTTGGCGCATTTAAAATGTACAGGAAAGTTTTATCTGATGCGTTTTTTTCAATAGAAATATCTGAAACAAAATGCATACGTCTTTTTTAATCTTAGTCTTTCTAAATAAAAATTAGAATAATAAATTTGCAAAATAATTTGCTTTAATATATTTTTATTGCAAACATATGAAGCAAAATGCTCAAGGTGCATCACTATGAAAACATCGATAGAATAAAAAATAGATCGCATACAAAAAAATTAAAATATTTACATTATATATTTGATATTTCTGCAAATATTTCCATTATTTTGAGATTGATTTGTTTCATGATATATTGTAATAATTAAAGTATGATTTCTGATATAATCTGCCATGAGACTGCAGAGAAAGCCAGCTTTAATTCTTTATTTTGTTCAATATTTTTAATAATATAATAATTAAATTAAAGTTCTATGAAAATATGCTTGAAATACTAAATAAAAAAGATTGTTTCTTATGTACAACCTTATACCTTATAGTTTAAGTAAACAAAAAATTATTGTTAATAATATACATATATAAATTGATAATTAAATAAAACAATTAATTAATTAATCGACATAATCTACATTTTTTTTTAGCTTTATGTCTAACATATATATATATATATATATATATATATATATATATATATATATGTATATATATTTTTATAAATAAAAAATGTTTCTTTCTAATATAAATTAAATAAAAAATATAATATGTCTTTAAATACTTTATATACATACCTGTTGCAATAAACCAATAAAGAATGCTTCTACATTCCTCCTTGTACTTTGGCATACATATCCTTTATGCCAATTATCTCGCAACACGCTTTTATCGCATGATGACAAACAAGCCCATTATCCTTCATGAATTTTCTTTACAAATATTTTTATATTATCAAACTGTGTAAAGAAATCATGTAACACTGAAAAATACAAAGTGATATTAAAAGAGAAGAAATAAATTTTATATTATATAGTATTGACAATTATTTTCTTACCAGTGTATTCCTTATATGTAGGAATATACATTAGTCTTTGACCAGCCCTATTTTTAACCATCTTTAGGGATGCTTTGGCTTTTGATAACGCAAATCCAGCTAATCCATTTTCATTTCCAGTTATTATAAATAAACTGATTCTAGTCTTACGTGCTAAATTATCGGTCATACAAGTTATCATTTTGTTTTCCAAAATCCAGGTTTCAAAACTTTCAAATATATCTGCAGAAAACAAAGATATTAATTATATAAGATTCTAATATTTAGAACTGAAACATCAAAAAAAAAATTGAAAATAGACATCGTATCACATGATTTTTGTATGTGTGTGATTTAACCATTATAATCTAATAATAGCATAAATATTAACCTTTTCCAATAAGATCTGATTCAATGCTTCTGCCATCCATTGTAACACTCGTCCAACCACATTCCAATGGCGATAATTTTATTTGCATTGGTCTGATCTGACTTTGTGGTAATTCCATAAGTTTTTGCTTTCTTTCAAGATTTACAAGTTTTTGCTGTTGAATTAATTCTTTTCCTCTAAACACAGGAGTGTTTAGACCAGGAAATTGTATTGGAATTTTTCCCATACCAATAATTTGCTCCTTATTTAGGAGCTTTCTCTTTTCACTACTCTTCTTGCTCTACCTCTGCGTCTTCTTGCATTACTGATACTTGTCACACCCTTTCATAATTCATCTTCAGGTCCTATAGAACAAAAGCACAGTGAAATACAAATTATTTTCTACTGTAAATATAAACTATTATCAAAATGCTATATCCATAAAAGTTCTACTTACTATTCGCAAAAAATATAGAGTTTCTCACATTATTTAATAAAGTGACTATTTTTAATAAATGTGAATGACTGACAAGCAATAAATTAAACAATATTAAATAATAATATACCTGAAAAAAATTTCATAATTTTATTGGAGTTAAATTGATAAATTAATTTTAAATACACATTATATGTTAATTACATATAATGATTTAGAGACAATGATATATTTCATTTGCGTTACCATTGTTTATAGATTGAACATTTTTTATCAAATTATTTACAACTCTAAATATGTAGCATACGACAAGCCATTTTTAAAATCTATAAAACAAACAACAAAGTTGTTCATAGTTTTCACTCTTTTTTGTCATAGTCTGCTTTTAGGCGATCTTAAAGTCACTAGATTAACAAAGTATCCGGCTTTAGATTATCCCTGAAAGGACGATGCCTCCTCTATAAACATAAAAATATGAACTTACGGTGCAATTTCATTGACGCTAAAAAGTAGCGTCAACCATTGGTTAAACAAAGAAGCAACTACTTACTTCTTTGTTCAACCAATGGTTGACGCTACTTTTTAGCGTCAATGAAATTGCACCTTTAGATTGGTAATATCTATCCTCTTCTAATGCATAAGAATTCTATGCATTAGCAAAGGATAGATATTATCAAGAATAAAATTATCGTTGACGCGTAGTATACTTTAGATCCACAATTATGGATCGTATTATTATCGTTTTACCTTTATGCTCGTGGCACCGATCTACAGGCTTCTCTCTGTTCGAATTTCGAATGTTACATTAGAGTGCGTTCGAAAATCCGATCGAAAGGAGCAGGGATTTTTTTTGTCCCGATTCATCACTACTCTACTTCGGGAGGATTCCGAACGCATCCTCGCTCGATTGATTATTTAATTATTCCGAGAGATGGCGCCGCGATCGATCAGTCGCCGCCCGAAGCACGGAGTGGAGAGTCGAGTGGGGCTCGTCCATCACGAGAGAAGAGAAAAAGGAAAGGAGAAAAAGGGAAAGAGAAAGAGAGAACGAAAGAGAGAGAGAGGGTACGATTAATACATAGCTTGCAGGAGAAATAAATCGGCGCGCGTGGAGATCGACGGCGACTCGGAGACGGGAGTAACATGCCAGTGAAGTGCGTTGTCAATCGGGAAAATCGTCACGAGACACCGCTATCTCCATCGGTATCCGTATCCGCGCAGGCGATCGCATCGATACCCGCGCTCACCGCCGCGTCGCACCGCTGCTCCTGAGGTAGGAGAAATAGCAATCGATGACGCCGATGACGCTGTGCGCGGCCGATCGTGCGAACGCAAAATATAACCTCATCGGTGCGTAAGATGCTACAACTTTTATCGCTTCGACCGGAGATACCGCTGTTTCGAGAAAGAAGCTGATCGGCGCACGCTCGTCGTGTGTGTGTGTCTGTGCGTTTGCGTACGCGCGCGTGGCTCGCACGTCCAACGTTGTTTTCGCAATCATTATCGGAGCCGCTCATCATGAAAGTGATCGTGAAGAAGCTGCTGGGAAAAGAATGTGTCGTTGACGTAAGTATACCGTCTTTCCATTTCCCCGCGTATCGACGACTTCGTCTCGCGATCTGAATTTTACTCTGGATTAATATTTACAGTCGTAGGGTTAAATTAATGTTTATCTTAAACGAATTAGAGGGAGGGTACTTAGACGTCCGTTATAAATAAAAAATTCGAATGCGTAGTTCGTTCTTCGATCGACTTTCTCATTTTAACAACGATCGAGCCTTGAGAGTCTTTAAAAATCTTTTTCGTAATAACTATTTTTTTATAATTAATTATAAGCGTTATCTTTTTGTGTATTATTATTCATATTATATGTATCATTTTTAGATATTGCCATCGGAGACAGTGTTGGAGTTGAAACACAAAGTGAGCGATCTGTTAGGCATCGATGTACCACAACAAAGATTATTACTCACTGGCAAAACTTTAGCGGGTAAGTATATTCAGTTATCTAGTGTCATGTATGATTGTTGTAATTCTGATTATAGATTATTTATTTCATGTATTTTAGATGAAAATCCACTAAGTTTCTATCCGGGAATCAAAGATGGCAGTAAATTAAATCTCTTGGTAATTAAAAAAACAGAGGAGGGTTCCAGCAAGGCAAAATCTTCGCCTCAACAAAAATTAGGCGTTCAATTGTTGAGAGATGAAGTTTCCAGAGTGCTCAGGCATTACTACACGGTATCTGAGACAGAGTCCATAGTCAATGAGCTGATAAAGGACTTGAAAAGCAAAGTGAATAGCCTTAGTTACGATGATCTAGAGAGATTAGCCATTGCGTTGCTCCAGGACCAAGAGAATGTAGCTTAAGAATAATTGAAAATTTTTCAATTCTGCTTACTGATTGATTATTGTAATACGAGTTTATTTAATTGAAGCATTATCTTATACATATTGCGCCTCTTAATAATTGGTATTTTGTAATTAAATGTATTTAAATCAAATAACCATGAGATTTAAAAAACATACCACTTTACGTAAAATTAAAATTTAAACGTAATTCACTTTATTAAAATTATTGTATGTGTACACGTGTCACATTGTGTTATGAATAATTAGGTTAATTATGTATTGGAAAATTCTTAAGGATCTGCCAAATCTAATTGACGGAAGTATCTCGCTACTAAACAGATGAATAAATTCAACGCCCCTAGCTCCTGCGCGTCCAGTTTTCTCTGAAAAAAGGGCAAAAAATGAGAATGTCATTAGTAAATTTTAATATGAACTTTTGTAGATATCAACGAGACGACGAGCTAGTTTAGATATAGAAGAAAAGTTCAGTCTCTTATTTTCTCAACCTTTTGTAACCTGACAAATGCATGTTTTTATTATTGCCTGAACCTTTTTCTAACACTGAAAACAACATAAATAGAGTAAACAGAAGTTATGCAATAAAAATGTTTTGTTAATAGAAATTAAACATTTTCCTTCCATTTTTCTCTCCCTTATATTATTTTACATTAGTAAAATTAGATCAATGATAGGTTAATTAGATTAATGACAAAAAATAAAATATATTAAATTGATTTAACTGAACTTTTCTTTACGTTAAATTAATATGTCGAAATTACAAAAGAAAACCAATGTTATTCTATATTTTTAAGGATGATATATAAGAGATTCAACTCTTATACACATTTGTGTGCGAAAAAGAGAGAAAGATTATGTTAAATCATATTTTTTCACCATACATTTAGTAATGTAGATACCTGAAATTTATTTTATTCTTTTTATTATATTAAACAAATCAAATAGCAACTAGATATTAGAGAAATAAAAGGATCTTTTAGCGGAAGATCAATTTTCATTTGTTTAAATTTGTATAAATTCAAATATTTATATCTTTATAATTCATTGAATTATTTGATTTAAAAAATCTATTTTGCCTCTTTTTTTTTTATATTATTTCAAGATCATATATATATATATATATATATATATATATATATATATGTTTTTCAATTTTTAAATTTCTAGAATACACAGAGAATATGATTTAGACTTGCCAATATAAAAGAGATTAAACAAACATTCCTCTTCTCTTTTCAAAGCATAAAATAACATTGATTAATAAAAATAAATTAATTTACGTGCAATATTGATTTACTTTTAATAATCTAGTTTGATTAAGTTTAATAAGTTTTACAGAATCTGCGCGGATGACGGAACACGCTCGTGCCAACGAACGCAAGCAGGAACAGGTATCAGGCTGCAAAGGTTGCTCCAAGATCGCGAGTAATGTATAGATCCACTGGCCTATTTTGTATTCGATTCTCTTTTCAGTTTCCACAAAGTGCACAAGATGTTCAAGTACTTGCTCCACAGTTGATTGATTGAAGCAAAACAGAGTATTTAATGTGGGTTCAATTTTCTCTTTATTACCTAAACAGAAGCTGATCCAACCTTCTCGATCATTTATGCTAGGCTGTAATATCAAAAAGAAGAAATAAACCAAAAAGTGATTGAAGATTTTTTTCAAATTTCAAACAAATTTATTATGTAATAATAAAAAAGATTTACCAAATTAATGTCAGGTATCTTCCATTTACGTTTACCCACTTGTATCTCATCCTTCAGTTGGCTTACATACAATCTTATGTCAGAAAAATCGGAAACTTGATACTGTTGCCATTCCAAGGTTGGGCTGAGACTCGGTGGAGCTTCAACACATCCTGCTAACTTTTATAATTATATTAGTGTACAATATTTATTAAATTTGTCATCAATATTATATATAATATTACTGAAATCAACTTACAGTTTTAACGCAGCCTCTTGACAGTTTTGTACATGATAGATCTATATCAGCCACCACTACATCTGCACATTGTTGGGCTTCTATTCTATGGAATCAACAATTTTTAATTATTTGTTATTTGATTGCAAGAGTTTCTGTCTCTTATCAACTTAAAAAAAGCAAGATATATATATTTCTTTTTGACAAACTTCTTAAATAGAAAAATATTTAATAACATATGAAAAATACATCTTTGAAAAGAACAAAACTATAATAGATTAGATCTTTTAATTGCACTTTTCTACATGCTTTTTTGTTATAAAATAGAGTAAAATTATACATATGATTAAAATTTTAGAAACAGGGGAAAAATATAAAGAAATGCCTAAAATTAATTAAGGTAAAAGCTTTATTATAAATTACATCACTCGTTTAATGTATTCCTCTCCGGAAGTAGGTGGCAATGAAAGATTAATATCCTTTTCGTTGATATTTCCCACTTCGAATACTGGTCGTTTCAAATAATCCATCATATTGATTCAATATTTTTACTTTTTAACAAAACATTTTGGCACGAGGCGAACTAAAAATTTTTTGAGTTTAAGGTTAGTTTCGAGAAACTTTCGAGACGTTCACTACTACAATGGTAAACGCACTGGTAAACAGCTGATTAGAACTGCATAAAGCTTCGTCCATTTGAAAGAGTAATTTTGAAAATATCTCTTTTTTTATTTAATACTCTCCAATAATAATTACATTTATCATTTTTATTTATTAAAATGATTAAAATCGATATCAATAATACATTTCTTTTAAGTCAGTATTAACGACATATTTGTAGTCAATGGTAAGTGAATATATAGGCACAGCAGAAAATTAAATTTACATCGTTAAGAAAATATTAACATTATTAATTATTAATTAAAAATATACATTTTAACAATAAGATTTTTTAGAAAAATACGAAAATCTTCCGATGTCTAATTTTTATTGCATTGGATATGATTGCACGAGGAGAATTCTCGACCCTAGCAATTCACAATTATGATTATTTTCAGAGATATTTATCACATATATATTTTGTAAAAGTGCAGAAAAAAGAATTTTATTTTCTATCGTAATTTAATTGTACATATTTTTTTATAATAATATGAGTATTTTAAAGAGAATAAAATTAAGCTGACATGCTATTTTTTGCTTTTTAAATATAAAATATACCATGAGACGCGCAATCAAAGCCAATCCAAAGTTTTCTTTTAGCGAATCAATTCCTCTGATTGGCTATGTTCCATCTGAAACAGATATCTCTTTTTCGCCTGCGACTGAACCAGATCGATAAAGGTAGATAGAAAAGAAGAATTGCCAGAATTTGAAGATGAGATAACCAATTAAGAATGAAAACAAAATGCATTAAAATTGATGATATATTCGCAAAAGTGACAACTAAAGGAAGGGTAAAATAGGCATGAAGGCGCGGAGGAAAACATCCGAAAATAGAATACAAAATAATGTGCAGTATCATTGTTATATGTATAGTTTTGCTGCGCCATTCTGCGGTTTCATCATGATTTAATGATTTAAACCTCCTTTCACGCAAAGCGTAGATTTCGATATTTAAAGTTAACCTCCATCACTTGTGCTCCAATTGTGGACGCTATAGCTGAATTTCTTGGTGAAAGGCAAAAGAAATAGCGTAATGAGCGAGGACACCGATCGACTGAGTAAATATCTAAAGCATTCGCTGAACACGATGCCGAAATCGAATGTAAGATATTTATATAGTTTGGGACAATATTCATATATTATATTAAATATATTAATATATTATATTAAATTTAGAAAATTTAACAAATATATTAGATACATTAACATCAATAATACACAAAGTCAAATATTTAATTTGATAAAACTTTCTCAAATTAAATTTAGTTATCAAACCAGATATTAAGTAATTATCTTATTTTTCACTGATAATTTTTCACTAAAGATATATCTGAATGTTTATAGGTATTGGAATGTCGCGTTTGTGAAGAGGTCTTTACCGTGGATGGTGTAAAAGTACCACGCTTGTTACACTGTGGACATACAGTGTGCCATGCATGCCTATTACGATTGAGAACTTGCATGCAGGATCAGCAGTTTCTGTTGTGTCCTTTTGATCGACAACCCACCGCCGTGCACGAGAACAGTGTCTATAGTCTGAAGAAGAACTTTGCACTCATCGAACTGCTCGAACGGTTGGAACAATCCAATAGTGAGAAGACAGTGGTGTTGGAACGCGAGAGGCATCAATCAAATCAGTCGTGCGATGAAGACGAAGCTCACATTGCTGTTCTCTATTGCACTGTTTGTGCCACGCATTTGTGCGAGACATGTGACACCGCCACACATTCATCTAAAACATTAGGAAAACATAGACGAGTGCCACTGTCAGAGAAGCCACGTGAGAAACCTCGCTGTCCAATACACATGGAGCATGTGGCCGAATTTACATGCACCCAAGAAGGTTGTCACAATTCCTTGATGTGTTATCTGTGTAAAGAATATGGCAAACATAGCACACACAAGGTAACTTTATTTATAGCACACTTCTCAGTTTATACATTGTACAATTTTGCCTATTCTTTAAATGATAGCCGGCATTGGTGGAGGAAGAGGCCGAGAACATTAGAAAGTCCATTATTGCAGCGTTGCAAAAAATGACGCAGTTTATGGAAAGCATGAGGGACACCGCTCATAAAATAGGTATTGTTTTACTTTATGTATTATTTTATGTTTCAATTTATGTAATGTTTATGTATTATTTATATTTTCTTATGAAAATAAAGAAATGAGTCTAAACTAGAAAAGAAAATATAAATTTTTGTTGTGTGAATGTATTTTTAAATCTAAATCTTTATCATATATCAAATAATGTTCAGATATAAACAGTATAAGTGGAAAGGAATGGCTTATGGCTTTTTTCAATTATTTTTTGCTAATAGCTGAAGATGGGCCAAATTAGGACTGAAACGTACATTAAATAATTTAAATACTCTTAAACACTTGTGTGCATTGTTTATTGCGCTTGATTTATATTAGCCTATTCCTTTCCACTTACATTGTTTATTATATATATATTTATTTCATATATACAATCTTAATAAAAACTAACGTATACACGCTTTTTGATTTATTAGTAAGCTTTTGTAGGACATATCCATTAATTTTATCATTAATTTTTTACATTTGTATGAATAAATTTTCTTTAAATTCAATAAATTATATAATGTTTGACTTATTGTGCTGGTTCTCTTTTCGCTATTTTTTATATTAAAATTATACACTTAAAGCCTTTTACATTGTATTTTTACATTGTATATATCTTTCTCTCATATCTTTATATACTTTCTGTCAATTTATATTTCATAATTTTAGAAATAGTAATCGAAGAATTGGAGGGTTGGGCAATCGAAGACGCGAGGAGGAGAGTACGATATCACTTCGAAGAATTACGCGCTGTTCTAGCTGAACAAGAAAAAACGGCGATGGCATATATCGAGACGGAAACTCGTGGTAGATTGTGCGCGTTGAGACAGCAACAAAAAGATCTCACGACTACGAGATCACATGTGGCCGGTGTGTGTATCCAATGCGAGAGTATACTCGATTCTGAAGACTGGAAATTATTAAGTAGCTCAGAAAAAGTCAAGGAAGTTTTGGCGACGTTGGAGCAACAGCAACAGCATTACGCGCAATTGGGACCGGATTTTCTTAGTCCCGAATCCTCTATACCAATTATATTCAGCAAGGTTTGTTAAAGTTTTTTCATTCTAGATAAAACATTGTAGATGTTGAATTATATATAATTTATCTTAATTGTTCCAGTTGTTCTGGAACAGTGTTACAATATAAATTCTTTGATTTCGAATAATTTGAATGATTTATAAAACAATTATAGTAAATTTTTATATCTATCCTTTTTGTTAAGCTATTTCAAAGCAATCATTTCTGATTCTTAAAAAACATAATTACAGTAATCAAATTTTTTTTATATAATTTGCCTTGTTTACTATCTCATCTTTTTTTTTTAATTTTTTTCTAACGCATTTTCTTTTATTATAGGATAATAGGATACATATTGGAACAAAAATCGATATGCGCGTAGTGATTTTGGGACTAGACGGGGCGGGAAAGACAAGTATTCTGTCCGCCATGCGTGGTGTTACGTTGTCAAGCCCACCGATTCCCACTATTGGCTTTAATGTTGAGAGCTTAGAATACATGAATCTCGTGTTTACTCTCTGGGACGTTAGCGGCCATCAAAAATTTAGACCATTATGGAAGCATTATTATCATAACACACAAGCTGTCATTTTTGTAATTGATGCTAGTGATAGATCTCGTTTTGAAGAAGCACAAAATGAATTATCAAAGATACTTTATGAACGAGAATTGAAGGATACTCTGCTTTTAATCTATGCTAATAAACAGGTAAATATAACATTTACTTATTTGTATTGTAAATATATATTTAATTCTCACATGAAATGTTTTTTTATATCAATATTTACATTAGTAATATTTGGATTAAATTTGTAATTTGCAAAAATTCGAATGAATTTAAATGAATTTAAATTATATAATTTAAGTTTCCAGTAAATGTATATTTTTACAGGATATTGCAGGTTGTGCAAGTGTTGAGGAATTAGTCGATATATTTGGTTTGCATAAACTTTGTTGTGCGAGAGTATGGCATATTCAGGGCTCATCTTTAATTACTAATACCAATGGTACCCTGCAGGGTCTTGATTGGCTCTTGACACAATGCGTGTAGAGATTTTTTTTGTATAAAACTATTTATGTGGATAAGAAATAAAAGAGACACATTGCGCGTTTATTAATGTGGTTTCCACATAGGACAGATTGAAGCGAACTGAAATTAGGTAAATAAAAATCACGCAAGAAAGATATCGTGTGAGTTTTGATGTAAAAAATGATTATTTTCTATAAATTATTTCTTTGCAAAATAGGTTCTATTGAGTATTATTGTTTGAGAAATTATTATGAAAAATTTCTCAATCATTTTTTATGACAACACTCGATTATACTTTCGTGCGTTAATTTTTCTTTTTTTAATTTATTAATTAATATTCATATAATTTAAATTTATTTTTTTATATGCTCTGTGAGCGTGGATGATCAATATAAGTTAATATATCTAATATATTGCTGTAGATCTATATTAGCTCGTCAATACACGAAAAAAGTCTGCTCTATCAAGTTTATCTGTGTTACATCAAAAAAATAGTTTCAAATACAAATAATATTAGTTTATTTCCCAATATAAAAATTGAACTACAAGATTTTAATCATATTTAAACATACCATAAAATAGCCTGTATATGTATGTATATACATATAATATGAAAATTAAAAGCAATTTGTACAGTCAATTCATACACATTATTATAAATAATGAAAATAAATTAGAAATAGGATTAGGTTATGTATGATTGAATTATGAGAGTATTTAAGGACTATAAAAATAAGTTCTAAGCATATCTAAAAAAGTCTTATTTATTTTATTACATCGGTTATTGTGTTGCCTCTGATACATCGTACCAATTATCATTCAGTCATATTTGCACACATTCATCCTTGTCTTTCTTTCTTTTAATTGGAGCGTTTTTTAATTATGTGTACATTATATGAAGAAATTGAAATAATATATATTATATATATATATATAATGTATTATAATATATATTATTATTAATAATATATATTATAATATATTTAGCATCATATTTAAATTACATGAATTATCTTTTAATGTATAAAACACTTGACAAACAAAAACAACATAGAGTCTTTTATGGAGTTGCACCAATGGTGAACACGGGCTAGATGACTCTTACTTCTTTCTCTAATTTTTAATATTGTTTTTTTTTTTTGTATTCCACACACATCCGATGTATCTCGTGGAAATATCAATCACTTGATCTATACTTACACGATCGACGTTTACAAGTTAATATTTCAGGATAATTTGCGCTCGAATAGTAATAAATTATATCGTGATTAAAAATGTTTAGACGCTGTGATACCAAGACCAAAATAATTACTGAAATATTGGGCGAGACTTTATTTTGAAATCTAAAACCGAACTCAACGTAACATCTTCGTAGAAAATATGGCGACATAATCGACGAGACTATTATCCTGTTCTCTTGCTATTGCATGTCTTTAGATTACAATTTTGTGCCTGTGGGAGAATTAGTACGCGTCGCGACCACGTAGCTTCTGGAATACAGTCTGTGTGTGTTTACGTCCACGCGCGACACATTCATTTATATTTACAATTCATCATGCTCCTATAAAGAGAAGGATAAAGGCATTAATATAATTGATAGTATCATAATCAATACATTTTGTTAAAATGGATGTGTTCAGAAACGAGGAATTCCAATTTTTATCGTCAGTAGATATCGGAACAAATGTAAACATCATAAGCACTCAAAGTTTCATAATTTTATTAAAATAAAATATAAATTAATATATATAGATACTTACTTCATCTGGTTTATCGTTATCATCATCTTCGGGTATATCTGGTATATTATTATCTTCATTTTCAGCATCTGGTATATTGTTATCTTCATCTTCATCATCTTCGTCTTTGCTTTCGCTTTCTTTTACCTCTTTGTCTCTTTGCTTCCTTTCCTCTTCGTCTTGCGCTTCTTTCATTTTCTTTTCACCTTCCTATAATTTTTAGAATAAACAGAATATTTTCAATGTATTTATCTTATTCATAAAAATTAAATATTACTATGCAATGAATCAATCAGTTACACATTTGTAATAAGATAAATATAAAAAATGTAACAACAAGAATCGAATACTTACCAATGTAGGTTTCCAGACTTCTTCTCCGAATTTGCGCGCGACTTCCGGATCATCGGTGATTAGAACGTTATCGAAAATGGTACCAGATTTAACTTGCCATAAATCAAAACCGACAGCGCAGATTTCGTCACGCTTATAAAGCTCGAGATCAGCTGTATATTCAGGATTATCGATTTCGGGATGAATCCACGGTCCCTTATAGTTAGGATTGTCGATTTGTTTCGGTTTCCATTCACCCTGAAATTATTACATAATTTTTAGAAGCAAATAAATAAGATTTATTGTGTCGTGAAGTACTATATAAAATTCTGAATATATATCAATTTCAATATACGAACCTTGTAATCAGGATTATCGATCATGGGTGCTTCCCATTCGCCATCCATTTCGTCATCCCAGTCCTCAGGTTTGGTAGCTTCAGGATCAGGAATGTGCTCGGGTTTGTCCCAGTCCTCTGGTTTTTTATCCTCAGGATCATCGATACTGGGTTTGTCATCCCAATCTGCAGGTTTGGTTTGAGATGGATCCTTGATTTTCTTTGGAGGGAGGAAACCCCAGTCTGCTTCCAACTCACCGGACTCTACTTCCTCGTTGTCGATGAGTACCTGAAAAGTTATTTTATTGAGGAATAATCGAATCAGCAAACTTTCTAGCAATAATTTTTAAACAAATAGTAAATTGATATGTTGATCTTTGCCGTACACGCACAATAAATCATATAGCTCATGTGCAATAAACAAACAAGATAATCTTTGCTTTACGAGATCTTTTAGCACTTGTCCTCCACGGCAATCAGTGAAGACATGAGACTCTAAGCTCGATATGATAATTCATGGGCACATTATAATATAATATAATATATAGTGAATATTTACCTTGTATGTATTATCAGGTTTAACAATCAACGTGTACAAATGTGTGTAGATATCGTCCTTGCAGCGAATGTCTTTATTTATCAAAAGATTCTTGCCTTTATAATTAAAGATGACATGCACTTTTTTAATTCCTGGGCCACAAATATCAGGTCCTGTATAAAAACAAATAATGTAATGTTAAAATTGATGTTTTTAATTCATTAAATAAGTATAAGTATGTATATAAATTTAAATAATTATATGTAATATATAAGAATATGATTAATAATAATATATATATATATAAATGTTAAAATTTTTATTTGCATATTTTAAAAATTTCTAAGATAATTATTTTTTCATATGTTAAAATAAATAAAATAGTTTGAATTTTGTATATGATAATTAAGTGTTATAATACATGTATCTTTTCTGGTGCCTGCAATATGCATAATCGCTATATACAGGGCATATGAAAGAGTATTGCTTTCCGAGGACCTATAGCACTTGTCATACACTGATATAACCAGTGACTCTTAGGCTCGGGATCGTTATCGTTATTATGAATTCGTTATCGATAACACAATTCTGATAAGAAGACTTACCGAACATAATTAGGTATGGGCTTTCTCCATACAAATTTTTCTGGTCGATTGAGCAATCGAACACTTTGAGATATCCACCACCACAGTCAATGTTTTGTTCATGCTTGACAGTGAATTGGATAACAAGAGTCTTTTCCTTATTGCTGAACGGAGTGAATTTCTTACTGACAGCATAAAACCTTGCATCTTGTGATGTCTGAATACCTGAGAAAAATGTGGAAAAATATAGAAAATGCTCTTTACACATAAACAAACAAAATTTTATATTTCATAAATTGTAATCGCTGATATATTCTTTCAAGTACCTTTATCATTTTCTGGATCGTTCCAAAATTTTCCATGACTTAAAACAAATTTTCCAAATTCTTTATCCGGATACTCAGAGTAGACCCAAGTTTTTTCCCATGAATCTGAAATGACAAGTTTCTCTATAAAATAATATACACACACAAAAATATTATAATATATACACATTATTACTTCAATTTTAATATATATTTTATTGACATATGTGTGTGTGTATGTATGTATACAAAAGATTTATATAAAATGTTATATTTATTTTTACTCATTAATATACATTATTATTCATTAATAATTTCAAGCTATTAAATTTAAATATAAAGATGGTTTTATCAATTTATTATTTATTAATGAATAAAATATAAATTAGAAAAAAATTGAATTTTATATATTGTATATTTTATAAATTGTATTTTATATATATTTTATATATTATAGTTTAATATATTATACATTCATACATGTAATATATATTATTTCAATTTCATGAGTAAATGTGTATTAAATGTATCATTACACATGATGTATTATCACCTATATATAATTATATGTGATTTCTGTTTACGAAAGATTCGTGGAATTTTAATTCATCTAAGAAATAACTAATATAAAGCGATAATATTTGCATGAAATCCTTGCTGCATCCTCGAGCAAGAAGGTAAACGAGAGGGGGCAAGAACCGGTTAAAATTAAAAAAGCGACGATATATAACTGTACCATATAACTCGAGAGACAAAGAGAGATAACACTATCCCTCGTCGGCAATTTCGGCAAATTTAATTTCCAAAAGATGTGGAAAAATAAAGCTAGTCGTCGCGTTCCATTGTCATTGAAATAAACATAAGAAGTTTATTGTTTTTATCATTCTTTTCTTGTCTCGTTCTCTGTCCAACGTTCAAGTATCTATTTCTTACTCCGACTTATATACACGGAAAAAAATGTACAAAATGTAGCTAAAAAAACCAAGATATATCACGTGTACTTCTTGCGCTTTATATTTCAGCAAAACAGACACCTATAGTTAAAAGAAGAATAAAGAGCTAAGGAAAATAAATAAAACAGAGACAAATCTTGTCGGCATCTGCCAGGAATCTGAATTTAACGGGACAACATCCACGTCACCGGAAAGATCCGTTCATCGATCAAGGGTTTTTTATCTTTTCTCGGCATGCCTAAAAGGAGACAGCCTTAGATACGGTGGTCTCGGAGCAAGAGAGGGAAAACAGGATGAGGGCAGAATTAAGCGTAAATGGACGGATCCGTAGAGAGGAATCATTTTCGCCCGGCATCGAAATCTTGACCAAGTGAAATCGGCATCGCATCGCTCTTATCACGTCGTTCACCGCTAACCGGAGGGTCGAGCATGCAGATTGATCGATCTGGAGGCATCGTGTCGATGGCGATAAACGAGGTGCCACGCGCTAGCACGATTGCCACGAGAGACTAGACTTCCGACTGCGTGTCGGCCTCTCGATGCTTCCATCTATCTCTCTCCTTCTCTCTCTCCCACCCCGGCGCGTCGTGGCGCATATGGCCGATACCGCTTCGAAAAATTATGACATGATATATATATCGCGGATATGTGTATGTACATCGCGAGTGATTCTCTCGAGTCGTGCGTAGCCCGAAATGATTTCGTACTGTAGGAAATGATGGAGGCAGGTGACCGAAAGACGTCGGTCGACAGGACAACACGAAGCCATGGAAGCGCGACAGGGCGTGCGGTTACCAAGGAGAGACCGCGTCCTCGTCTCTCCTGCGAGACACGACGCGTGCGAAGGATATTTTCGCCTCTTCCATTCCGCTCGATGCGTTGTCCTCAAGGATCGAGGAACGAGAAGACGCGAAATAAATGCGAACGAGGGTGTGGTTCACCGTGAGAGCGGATCGCGGCCCTCGGATTCGCCACGGTCTTCGTGGCAAAGGAACAAGCCGCCGCGCGAGTCTCGGCGGCCGGGTTGATACTCCGGAAAGGACGATTATTACTCACCATCGTTGAATTTCTCGTCCAGGTAGATGTCCGCTGTGACAATAGCGAGTACTACGAGTAGAACAAACGTGCAGAGAGACCGCATTTTCGGACGCCGACAGAACGACGTGATCCCGAAGAGACGACGATGAAGGAGGCACTTGCCACCACGACGAACTGGCCGATAATGTTCGTTCGGCGGACGTGGTTGGTGACTTTAGCGGCCATCAGGGTAGACAGATGGAACGCGCCGATTGGCGGACGCGCGCCGGCCAATCAGCGCCGACCACGCTCTACCAACGTTGCGCCACACCGTGGTCGCGGTTGGCCATGCGGCGTCGCACATAACCTCGCGTCAGTGGTTATCGCAGCCGCTCTTATCTGTCGTCGGTATCTGATACGGTAGCGTTCTTTGCCGACAGTGAAATTTGTACGAGGGCGTCCGACGCGGTGGAAGTCGCTGATTGGCTGCGAGGATACCCGTCATTTTCAAACCGGTTGCGTTTCTTCTCCCGGTCAAATCTCGGTCTTCCACTTCTAACATTGCGTCGGAGATGCTTGGATATTTGCGTATATTTCGAGTAGAAGAACGTAAAATTCAAGTCCGATTGAAGGTGAAGGTAACTTTTAATTATTTATCTACATGTTTTCTATTCTGTTTTATTAAGATATATCACTTTTTCGATGTTATATTTCTTTCTGTAATACCTCTGCTTGAGGGAAAAGAACGCATTTATTTTGAGAATTTTAAATTCTTATCAAATATTTGTGGAAATTTAATTAACGATTGTCGCAATCATGCAAAAGCACATTAATAGTATTATAATTTATAAAATATTATAATTTATAAAATATTAGTATTGTAATAACACTTAGGTATAATATGTGTTAGATGTATGCCAGGTTGTTTCCTTGGCAACAAAAAGATAAACTCATGGCGACAACGAGCAGAACAATCCATCGTGACTCACTTCAAAACAAAACCTCTAATTCGTGAATAAGTGAAATTTACAAGTGATGCGAAAGTCAAGCAGATTTTGTTAGCTAAATTTAACGACTGAATACTCGAATCTAAAAAAAGAAAGGAAAAATGTTCTCTTCGAAAGCGAACGCGGCGCTGGCGCGTTTGAAAGAAATCGAGGAGAAATACAAGATGAAACGTGAGAAGCAAAAATGGACTCATAAAGAAGTGAGTATTTCCTAAAAATAAGAGGAAAGTAAAAGAAAAAGAATCCTGAAAGAGAGGAAGTTTGTGAGACAAAAATTTCATGAAAGTTTAAGTCCTGTAGAAAACAAAATACTTTTATGTTTATATTTTAATTTATATATTACATCTATGCAGTCATTTTCATTTATTTTCTACTGCTTATTTTGTATATGAAAAATAAAAGAAGATATATTTCAATATTTAATTACATTAAAACATTATTTCAACAATTTCAGCATTATTACATTATTTCAACATTTAATTTCAGCTAGGTTGCAACATTATTTTGGATTTAAACGATATTTAAATATATATCTGTTTTTATTTATCTAAGGCCTAGTTGCACCAATGTTATTTTAGCTTTAAGCGACACTTAAATATATGTCTATCTTTATCTTTCTTTCTAAATAAATAAAGACAGACATATATTTAAGTTTTATTTAAAGCTACAATAACGTTGGTGCAATCGGGCCTAAGGCTTGCACCAACATTATTTTAGCTTTAAGCAAAACTTAAATATATGTCTGTTTTTATTTATTTAGAAAGAAAGATAAAGATAAACATATATTTAAGTCTTGCTTAAAACTAAAATAATGTTGGTGCAATCGGGCCTAAAGAGAAAGATAAAAATAAGCACATATTTAAGTATTACTTAAATCCAAGATAATTCAGTACAATCTGGCCTTGTAGATTAGAATTAAAGCTTTATATTATAATCTTAATGTTTCTTTATAAATCAGAATAAAAATTTTTACAAAATAACAATGATTCTAATAATATATTGCATTTTTTATTTAGAACACGGATAGTTCGATAAGCAGCGTTTCGATAATTCCTTCGGAGAATCCCTCAGCAGAATTAAAGAAATCACCAAGGAATATCTTGAAGCTCAAGCTCGACATTAAAATACCAGATACACGAATCGAAGATCGCACGGAAGAAACAAAACTTTCATCGGAGAAGAAGAAATCAACGTCGGACAAGATGAGTCCGGAACCTTTCGAAGATGAAGCCGACCTTGATGTCACGATGCCATCGAAAGATAAATCGCCGCGTTCTACAGGAAAGCAAGAAAGTCTCATCTCGGATGTAACAAGTATTCAAGAGAATAGCTCGATTGAAAGCGTGCTCGATGACTCGATGATTTCGTCGAAATCACTCTCACGCTCGAAAACATCACGAGGAAACTTTTCCACGGCTAGCAATAAATCTTCCAGACGCGAAGAAAGGACAAAAGTGGCTGGAAAATACGAGAAAGGAAAAGAATCTGATAAATTGTCGGAAATTTCGAGAGGAAAAGCGTCATCTGGTAATTCATCAATTATAAAGCAATCGAGATTGCCCGGGAAATCAAATGAGAAGAGCGCGTTCAAAGCGCGTTCGGGCTTGAGATCGGAAGAGCGTTCGATTGAAGAAAAAGTTGCTATTAAAATACCGAATGCAACTAGTTTGGATACAAATTTGGATCGTTCGAGATCTTTGCGCGATGATAGCGTTATTGAGGAATCGGTCGGCACAGTGGACGGCAGTGAAATTATTTCGGAATTGTCTTATACCAAGACAGGTATTACGACTAAAAACTACAACAATTCTATTAAAAATTCCAAATATTCGGCAGCTGATAACGCTGTAGTAGTTTCGAGCAGTTCTAAACAGCTGGCAACTGAAAGCGGATATGCGAACGACACCTTCGAGGACATTTCGAGTTCAACTTTGCGATCACAATCGCAGCACGAAAAAATAATGGATGGGAGCAGAAAAATAGATTTAGCAGAATCTAGTACAAAGAAAATCCAAATGGCGTTACTTGAGCAACATAAATATCAACAAAATAACAAGACTATCAGGTAATTAATTTATATATATATATATATATATATATATATATATATATAATACTTAATTTTAGATCATATTAACATTAAAATTAGATTATATTAACATATATAATAGAAATATTAAGATATATTAAAACATAATAGAAAGAAGAAATAAGAAACGTTAAGATATAATAGAAATATTCTTTTTATTTTTATATTTAATTTGAATATTATTTTTTTAAACAACATTATATATTTCATAAAATGCACATTTTTCCATAAATATATTTTTATCTTAAACAGAGATTTCAAATTAATTTTGAATAATAATTATGCATGTGAAATCTCTATTATGTCAATAATAGTAATAATAATACTAATAATATAAAATGAGGTAGAAAAATAATGTTTGTTTATTATTAATTTTAAAATTGAATTATTTTTTATGAAAAATAAAATTATATATATGTATATATACACGCATATACATATATGAAGTAAGAAGAATTTAACTTTGAATTAATCCAAAGTAATTAATCAATATTACTTATTAGAAATTATAATTATTAAGAATTACACTTCAGTTTTAAAACATAAATAATACGAATAATACAAAATGTTAATTGTTTTAATTATCGTGATAGTTATTGTGTTTTTTCAAATATATTATACATGTAGAACAGTGACAGCAAAAGATTTATGACAGAAAAAGCGAAAAGTATTTGTATGTGTATTGCAATCCTTATCAATGATTTGTATTGTAATCCTTATCAATGATTTATAATCATAAATACAAATGCAAAATAGTAAAACATCAATATTCTTAAAATTATCCAATTTTTATCATGGAAAAATTATATGCAATGTTTTGTTTGATTGCAGAAACGAGCATGTGACTTTAAAACCCAATACTGAGGTTAATTTGGAGCCGCCCAACTATGTTAATACGAATTCAGATAATGCAATCGTGAGTTTGATAAAATCGCCAAAACTCGTCAGTTCGAAGAAACCTTATCAAGAATATCAACCGGAATCGATTAAAAGAAACAATTCTAATGGTAAAATAAATAATATATTTTAAATAAATTGATTTCAGCATTAATATTGGGATTAATCCAATTTAACAGAATACTGCAATATAAAAAATCTAATTCAAGTATGCATATTTTAAAAAATTGATTTAAATAAAAATTGTAAATATATTTAATAATTTATCTTTTAATTATATACGTAATTATTTTAATTATTTTATCTAATATACACACACACACACACACACACATATATTTTATAAAATTAAATATTTGTAAAATTTATTTCAACTAAATTTCGAAATAACACAGTTGCAAAACCAATAAGAATTTTACTTCATTAGAAAATAGTCTTGAAAATTTATCAAGCTCTTTAAAATTCTTTTTAATGCTTCAAAATTTTTTTGATAAAAAAATATTTATATATCATTGTGTTTTACAAAGATTTTAATGCGATTGATTCGACGAATTTTTCAGTTACAAACTTCGATAAAAACATATCTGATTCTTCGGAGTCGTTGACCAGAATCGGTGATGTGACGAACACAGATGAGAAGAAAAACTCACCGGAGATCAAGACGACTTCTGTTCGGCAAGAAAGCAGTCGGAAAGAGCATGGGAAAGCATCGAATAAAATAAGAGAACGCGCAATGATAAATATCACTGAACCGCCTGTGGCAGAAGACATAATCGAATCAAGTTCATCAGAGGAGAAAGAAACAGAAAAAGAAAACGTTTTTGAAGAAAGTTCGAATCAACACATTTCCCAAAATGCCGAAGAAGTGTTGAGAAAATTGCACAAAGATGCGTATGATGCGTTGGTCAAGCGACACACAAGCTCGAAAAATGCAAAAAAAACATCGCAAAAATCTTCCAAGAGTAAGACAGAATCGGAGAACAAGGATGTGATGAAAGGGAAAAAAGAGATGTCGAAAGAAGAAAATGAAAGTCACTGCTCTTTAGAGGAAAATGAAATGGTAAATATTAATACTACGTTTTTTTTCTTTCTGGATAATTATTAGATTAATATCAAATTTAATATAAATTAAAATTTTAATTAAATTAAAATTTCTTGTAATTTATTTTTGTACAAGATCATACATTTTATAATTATAAAAGTATCTAATCTAGAAATAATAATACATAAGATGTTCTCGCACTTTTAATAATATGTTGAGAAGATTAAGATGGTTAAGTTAATGATTTTTTCGCATCGAAAAAATCATTATACAATAATTATATAACGTATTTAGACAAGAAAAATTACTGTTTTATTTTCTCTAATATTTTCTTTTATGCTTTCAGCATAATCGTAATGATCTCAAATCTAGTAACCAGAAAAAGAAAAAAATCATTAAAGTTACAAAGTCAGCGCAAGTTCACAATACCGGAAATCATAAAGAAGAGAAGACTTCAAGGTTTGATGAGAAACAAATGCATGGACTTCGGAAACGAATTGTTAAACTGCGACTGCAGCAGGAACGGGAAGACCTCCAAAAATATCTACAGGAACTGAAGAATTCAAGATTGGAATCGGGTTGTACCCAAGGCTATTTCTATCCCTTAGAATTTCCAAAGATTGCAGAATTTACGCAATCTGGTAAGTATATATATAAATGAAAATAAAAACATATATAAATTAATTTTCTCTCAACAATTTAATTTCATTGAATATCTAAATTTAAACTTATATTAAAATATTAAACTTATATAAGAGGTTTTATATTATTTTCTATTAATAAGTAGATCGAATTCTTTTTTTTTTTTCGCTTTTTGTTTTTAATTTTGCATACTCCCTTTTTTATATATTTCGATTTTTTATTTTTTTTTTTATTTGCGCAATTTATATACATATTTTATTGAATGCGAAGTGCAGTTAATCATGCTACAGTAAACGCATTGACAATCGTGATTCTAGTATTCTAGCATTGAATAGAAGAAATCTGCATTGTATTAAAACAATGAGAACGTAGACCAATAACAGTTTTGACAATGTAAAGCCACATGAAGAACACATTTGATATATTTCGCATTCAATATAGATAGATCTGTTATAAATGCACACAAACGTACATTGCCCGCAAATGATTCATTCTTTGTTGCTCCAGCGTTTTGCTACGCTAGAGTGACAAGAAACGATAAAATAAAACAGTACTTAAATATTCTCTGCATATAAATATATTCTTGGTTTATTTATGTATGTTTAAAAAAAATTGAATATTTTATTCCTAGATGCAATGAATTTAGAATCGAAACTGGACGATCAGCATATCATGCTTCGGGAGAGAGTTTCGGCGATCAAGCGATGTTTGAAAGATCAATATATCTTGTATCGTGACTACTGTTCTATGGCGCAAGCGATCAATGTCCACTACGTTCCGACGACATTGCAGGATGCCAAAAAGGTTAATACCTTTTTATATTACACATTATATTAAATTAGAATTTTAGCAATTGTATTAATTGCATAATAAAATAAATTATTTTATGAAAAGTACAATGGCAAAAATTTTCAATGTTTTTATTAATTTTGTGAGTAGAAAGTATCATTATTATATTAAATTATTATATATGTGTTATAAAGATTGCTAGTGCATTTTGTAGAGTTGAAATGAAAATTTTTTGCTATTATACTTTTTCCTATAAACGACTTCTTTTATATAAAATGATGGCAGACAGAGATGAGTCACATTATTGAGTTTTATTAAAAATAATACTAGTTTTATTAAACAAGTCTTTGCTATCTTGAATAAACCTTGAATGGGCATTATTGTGTTACATCGTAACGCCTACATCGTAAATATCGATATTATAAAGTAGCCTATACAATAACGTAACAAAAGTATTACGTATTCTTTGACGTAATAATATTTAAAATAGCACATGTGATGACGTATACGACGAAGCTGCGTCACAATGTTCGTTCATGGTTTTTTGCACATCGCTTTTGCATATAATCAAAGGAAAAAGGGTCGGAAAAATTCTTTTATGAGTCTAGGAAGCATCTAGGCTGTAATATACGAGTGTGCATCTACCGTAGATAGGTAGGCAAGAGAGCATGTTAAAACAAGGACAATGGGGATGCAATAAGGAACCAAATAAGGAAGCGAACGAATAACCATGAAGTTGTCGGCTCTACCGAGAGAATTTTAGTTTGAACGAGCTCACGAAAATTTTTTAAACAAAACAAAATTTTTTTGCTTACAGACAATACGCGAGCTGCAGAAAATGACTATTACAAGCAGATGACGTTGGCGCGCCTACCTCAGAGATTCATCACACGTGAGTCTTCGTTGAAATTATCTACGATCTAGTACTTCTAGATATTTCGAAAACGTGAGTACTCGGAGAAAATCTTATTTATTTATTAAAATATTAAAACCTTTACGAAATAATCGAGTTTTATTGAAGAAATTTTCTTTTACATTAAGATTATAATCATAATTTAACATCAAATTTTGATATGTTGAAGTTGTGACTATTTAAACTAGATTTTAGTTTGAAACTTTAATATTAAAAATTGAGATTTAATTTAACAGAATATAAAGTTGGTAAAATAAGTATATTGAAAGATGTTCTTTGTTATACTCTATGATTTCGCTTTACATTTCAATAATTTTACATAATTAATAATTCGAGACGCTGAGAATTAAATATAAATTTAATATTTGGAAAAATTAAAACTGTGCGTAAAGTATTAAATTTATGTGTAATTATATCGTGAAAATATCAGGTAATGCGAATTGTATAACTATTACATTTTTCTAATATTGATATATGATTATTATATTAATCGGGAAGTAATATGCATATTCATAAAATGTATTATTCGATAATTTTAATTTTTTGCGATTTTATTCGAGAATGAAACATTTTTTTTAATTACCTTTTTGGCGCGATAGGATCCGTATCAGTAGATAACGGTTTTCTTAATGAAATCGAAACTGAGATTTCTCCTTTATGCAATTACTAACCTGGCTGTGCAATATATTCGTGCTTCCGGTGTGTGAATGTTGTGAAACTTTGTGAAAATCATTCGCATATTATTTATTCCTTTGCAAATTGCAGAATGAAACAAAATTGCAGCGCTAAGAAAAAAAAGAGATATCAAAAAAAGCTCCAATTTTTAATCGATTTAATTATAATTTAAATTATAATTTAATTATTATTTAAAATACGAATATTAATTATAATTTAAAATACGGATAATATCTCGATAATAGCTCGATTTTATTAAAAGAAATCTCTTGAAATATTTATTTATTCGCGTTTAATTACTTATTCTTTATTTTGACACGAAAATTAAAAATGTGAAAACGATAGAACATTGTTTTTCCTGAATATTTAATAGATACTAATATTATTTTTTTCTGTCTTTCGCTCTCAAGATAGAATTTTAATTTGTAGTAACATAATTTTATTAGAAACTTAATACGAGTTATAAATATATATTATTTAAACCTATTATTATATTTTAAAACGCGTTGTAAATTTATATCTATTTTGTATTAAAGAAAATAACTTTTATTTCAATTTTTTATTCAAGCTCAATATTTCCTACATAAATATATTATATACATATATGTCATTATTACATTTTTATTATATATTTATTATATATTTCTTTCGTATTTTCAGATGTACTCTTCTCAAACATTGCACGACAAATGTAATACCGGCTTAAGATGTACGAAAAGGTAGAATAATTTAAATGCAAACAAAGAGAGAGAGACACGAGAGATTACTCTCGCCCTTCTGCGCTATTGGGCAAACTTCATGATACACGCGTGTCGCCTGCGTGGGAGTTGCGTGGCGGCGGCGGTGGCGGCGGCAGCGGAGGAGGAGGAGGAGGAGGCTGTCGCGGCGCGCTTTCATTGACGCGGCGCGCGCACGCGGCGTTTCTGCCGTGCAGTCTTGGAGCAGCCTCGCGATCGCCAGCACGTAACCGGCGACCGTCCGTACTCGAGGACGAAATCACGACAGTCTCGGAGCCGGATCCTCGCGTATCAGTCTCACGACCGGGTGGTGCGACCGTAATTTCTCGCCGACGACGGAGGACAGGATAGGAAATTAGACGAAACCAACCGGGAAACAGCGCCCGCTCTTCCGGTAAGTCGATCGATTTTACGTCGATTCGGCGGATGGGTGGGTTGAAATCGCGTGGAGGGTGAATCGAATCGAATAAATGTACAGGGTGTCGGGAAATTTGCGCCTTTAAAAATTTCAGCATGAAATATGTCGGATCGAAAGATTTTAAGAGATTTTTTCTTGTTAAAATAAACTTTCGCTTGAGCGTGAAATTCTGATATCTACTCATTGGTTTTTGTCAAAGAGCAATGTTACAACTTTCGCAGAATGTTGTAATGATTCAAATGCGCTTATTAACGCTCTACACATATAATACAAATAAAACACAAATAAAAATGATTAGGTATGGAAATGATTAGGATATGGAAATATTTAATAAAATATTTGATATTGAATAAAACATTTAAAAGAGAGCCTTATATTTAAAATTCGATTCACGTACACGCCCTTTCAATTTCATTCATTCGCCGTTAAACGTACCTTATTATAGATATATAAGTAGTCGCGTCGAGAGGATGTCGAGAGCTGAGAGATCCCGTAACTTTCTTTGCATAAGTCTTGTAAGACTTTTTACTAAAATTATAACGTTGATTGTAGTATAATGAAATAAAAAGAGCGCCGTGAATATAGATCTCGTGGAGTTTCGCGCGACAATTGAATGTTAAAGAGCAAAGTCCAATTAACGTGGCGCTTGTTGGCCGATGAAATTTTCTATCGATCGAAGTCAGTGACTGTAATTGCGATTATTAGGGAGAGGAGGAAAGGGCGAAAAAGGGTTCGTTAACGAGACTTGCAAATGGCGTGGGCGGTGATCCGGGGTGAATAGCCCGCAATATGAGTGAAAATATTGCTATTAAACCCAGAAAACAGTTCGAGTTTTGAATTAAAATTATTCTCGCAAACGACATAATATATTACATCTTTGAGAAATATTTATGAAATATTTTACATCTTTGAGAATATTAATGATTTATTAAGAATAAAATTCTTTAATTAAATTTTATAATTAAACAATCTTAAAATTAAATTCATGATATAAATACTGCAATTTATGAAACTTCGCCTCAAAGTCATATTGCCAATCAAGTTTTTCTCATAATTTAAACTAGAAAATTTTAGTTAAGCAAGCACACTATTATTGCAAAATTTTTATTTATCAAAATTGAGGTCGATGCATTAAATAGATAGATATCTGAATAAAAAGACTGTAGAAGACTAGAGCTTGTATCAAAATTCAAATCATTTCAGTCCTTGATTTCGTGCGATTTTTGCGTAGGCATAAATTTTAAGCGAAAGTGTAGACGTGGACTCATAGAGTCGGAGCGCTCTCGTTTAGAATCGCGAGATTGTCTCTATTGTCAGTCGAGGTTTTGACACACCGGGATATCTATCCTTGGGTGAGCGAATCGAGGACGCGGGATATATGCGTTATCGATGCACGTGATTTGTTAGACATCACGCCGTTCCGAGGCCGACGTGACGTCGATTATAGAGAGGTTTAAGATCATGGTGCACAGAGTTGTTTTCTAATATCCGTTTCTACGGAGTCGACCCTAATGCGAGGCCTTTCTCCGCGAGGTCTGAATCGAACGGCGGATTGCAAGTGCGAATCAAAGTTCGATATACTTGTGCATTCTATGTATCCTATATAAAGTTTAAAGGTATAAAATTTAATATTTGAATATTTCTAATATTAAAATCAAGTACCTCGAGTACGATTAACTTATTGGATCATGTTCATTTTTAAGACACGGTTGCTTTTCTCTGTCTTTCTTTCCCGCTCTGACTCTAAGATTTTTAAAATTCGTGATTCTCTCAGTTTTTCCCTCTTTTATAAATAGCTTTGTTTTCTTTGGGACTTAAAGAGAATGTAAAGTGTAAAACTCCTAGAGTTGTTAAGTTCACTCGTGCGTGATCTGTGACCTGAAAGAGTACATGCTCGACCGATCTCGACGGGCCCTATTGTTGCCCTGTTGTGCGTTGATTTGATACGAGAGGACCGAAAACGATTCCGTCTGAATGGTCCGGCCTTTCGCTGAAAGATCAACATTAATCAGCGCTAATCAACGCTAACTCAATTTGTATCCAACATGATTAAGCGGCAATAATTTAGCGCTAATTAGAGAGAATCAAATCGTCAACGTTAACATTCTTCACAAAAGAGCAATATTTGTGGTTCAATCGAATATTTACTTAAATTAAGATAATAATCGGGAATCAATTTCATATTTTAATTTTTATAATAATTTCCTCTATAATTGTATAATTTTATATTAATTAATATAAATATTAATTTTATATTAATTAATATAAATATTAATTTTATATTAATTAATATAAATATTAATTTTATATTAATTAATTACGCATTAAACAGATTTTTGTTTAATGTTTTAATTATATTTGTAATCTACCTGATGCGAGACAGGTGTTCAAAAGCAGCGACCGTACCATATTCGTTATATTATTTGCATCAGATGCGAGATTATTTTTATTTTCTTGAAGTTTCTCTCTCTCTCTCTCTCTCTTTTCTCTATCTTTTTCTCTCCGAAGCACGTGGCGTTTAAAAGAAGCGAATTGCGACGTAATCGCAACGATGCATCCGTGTCTTTCATCGATTTTCGCGGAGCTGACCGGATTCATTGATCCCATAATAATGAATAACCTTTCGAGAAAAATTATGCGATTGGGTCAAAGGTAAAATTCAGTCGCGTACAATATTATTAGCCACGTTCTCGCGATATCGTTAGTTATTGAGACGTGTGTCACCTTTGTCCATCATGGATCGATCGTTCGCTAACTCTTGACCTTCAATGAACTCACCTCGGAGGTAGCCTCTACAGGGTTGTCGCGGTAGAAATGACATTTTTATTGCGCATCCTCGACCCTTCGTCGCGATACTCGATCGATGCGTGCAACGTATTTATAAACGCGTTTCTCAATGAAAATATATGTCTGATGATTATAATGCAAATGCCATGTATGTGCCTACGTCTCTTTAAAATCTCTATTTTTTTATAGAGAGTATGCTGGCTTTTACATCAATTTATATAAATATTTTTATATAAATATGGATTACTTTTATTTGTTAACATTAGTTCAGAAGAAAATAGCATTACATAATTTTTAAAAATAAAGCATTTCTCGTGTAAAAAATTTCATAACTGTATTATTATGTATTAATTATATATGTATGTGATATCCAGATATTACATAATGAATTTTAGAGATGCATTATCAAAGTATGCTCGTTTTAATTCTAAAACTGCTTTTTATAGTAAATTTACTTGCAGATTATTTTTCAAGTAATCTTTTATAAAAGAATAAAAAGATTGAGGAGAGAAAATTTGAGGAAAGCAAATACTTCAATCAATATTAATAAACACATGATACGTCAATAATATAAATGATATGTCATCACAATCTTGCGTAATTTTCTCAGAATGAGATTGCGTCTTCTTTACGTGACTTCTCTCTTTCTCTCTTTTTCGTATTCGAGTTACGGTATATCATGCCTTTCATTTCATCATTTTAAAAATCCTGTTTGAAGAGGAATCCTGTCTCGTCCTCGCGTTTTTGCGCCGCAAAACAGAGCCTTGAGTAGAAGCGCTGTCTCCAAGAACCATTGTCTTCCTACGCTCCTACGCGTGTTCGTCCTTTCGTCTCCATTCTACTCTCCTTTTTTCACGTACATTGCATGGAATCGAGACCGCGAAAACAAAGAACGTCGTATTCTCGACCGTAAAAGAGAAAAAAGATATCATCGATGAAAAAAGAAGCAAGGGAATTTTGGAATCTAGGTCAGATTTTTCGGCTTACTATTTATTTGATATAGATAATATAAATAATATTATGTTGATATAAAATATGCACAAATTTTGGCAATTTCTTTTGGTAGATCGAGTTGCAAAAATTCTTCTGCGAAAAATTGTATTTTTATTTCAAGTTCCTTGCTCGCACATAATTAATTATAATTGAATATCTTATGTAATTATTTGTTTTAAATTTACTATTATGAAATAATTTAAATAACAAAATTATGGATTATGTTTTACGCTAGATGTATTTTTATTTGTGATTATTTTTACTTGATAATTTTTATTTAATACAATTTAATTACACTTTGTAAGAAATTTTGTTATTAAATTAATTAATTTGCGTTCGTGATAATAATTCAAACAAATTTATTCCGGATTATTACGACAGCACAGCAATATCGTTTGCTATGCGACCGCAGATGTGACTTTCCTTTCGGCGAGCGAAGCCAGCCGGAAATTGGCGCGATCGGGGCAGTGAGTCATCGTCTTCGTATTTTGTAGGGGGTGCGTTTATAGGGGTGCGTGTAACGATGAAATTAATCAGCCGTCAGAGATCATGACTCTCGTAACATTGTAATGGCTCTCGCCATTTGAAACTCGATCAATACTTTCGATCACGATGAGTCAAGGGTTCTCTTTTTATTTGAAAAGGTACGATTTTTATTTGAAATAAATAATGGATATATAATTATATATTTACAAATATTATTAATTACGGAAAATGCGATTATTAGGCATTTTTGACTTTCCATTTCATGTTTAATTTTTCAAATTTAGATTTCCTATTTTGCTTAAAAAGTGGGATAAAAATTAAACTAGATATTTTTTTCTTATATTGATTAAAATCGCGCAAATTTAGCATGTTATTATCAACGCAACTCGGATTAAATGCTGTCTGGAATGCTTTAATCTTGGTTGAAACGCGAACGAACGGGATAGTTGAAACGTTCACTGGAGAAGGCAAAATCGTTTTGTTTTTCCGACGGACTCGGTACGACCCTTTCTACTTTAACGAAGAGTTTGCCTAAAAATACAACTGCGGCTCGCCGAGACGAACAGAATTCCCATCATTCCTCGTTTGCTCCGTTCGCCATTGAGACTTCTCGAATCATTGAGAATTATCCAAATTTTCTCCATACAGCATTCAAATAATTTTTAAAAAATGTCTAGTGTAAAAGTAATTAATATTGAAGCTAGAATAAT